TGCAAGCACTCTCGCGAGAATTTTATACATGCTTCCAATAAGGCTTATAGGTCAATAGTCTTCCACGAGAATTTCACTTTGGGAATTAATGTTATGAATGAATAAATCAGTGCCATATCAAAACAGTTTCCTTCGTAGAACTTGCTAAAGAAATCCATCACACCTACTTGAATTTCACCCCAGTATTTTTTATAGAACTGAATGTCGAAACCATTCGGATCAGAAGTGCGCAACCATCTGCGGAAGAGATGACAGACCACACTTCTTCCAAAGTAAACGGTCTTTCCAAAGTGGCAGCAACCTCATATTTAAGTTGTCTGAAACAAATGTATCATCTAACCAAATTGATTGTGTTTCTTTCGCTGAAGGCTTGCTTGAAGTATTTAGAGAAAGTTTTTGAAATCTCAATAAAGTCGACGTAGATGTAGTTACCACTTGTTATTGAGTCTATATGGTTCCTCCTTTGTCTGATCGACGTGGAAAGGTGGAAGAATTATGTGTTGCGATCTCCCTCATTGAACCATTTAGGCCTTGATTTTTGAATCAAGTCTCTTTCTTCGCTTTGTAAGCATTCCACAATCAATTTCTCAATGCGTTTACTTCACAAACAACATATGAGTTGGCAGTTCCTGAGCATATGTCCATGTCTAGAGATTAGATGCACCTCTCCATTTGATCAATAGAATCTGGATCGATTGGTTTATTTGCCTTCAACCACTCCTTGGAAGCTGCCTTGCATGCAAATAAGATGTTTTTTATTCCACTGTCACGTCCTTTGGCACAGATCTCTTTTATCAGTTCAGAGTAACTCAGTTCGTCAGACTAAGAGAACTATTTGAAGGGTCTGGGGCCGGGAGATAATAGACGTTGTTCCAGGGTGATGGGACAATGATCCGATAAGCTCTTCAGAAGGCAGGATTGCGATAACGATGACCACCATGCAAGAATTTCGAGCGATATCAAGAATCTTTCAATCCGACTTGCTATCTTCAATAAATTAAAGACTACAAATTCAGAATATATTTTTAAACACTTTAAAATATCAGATATGTCTATAACGTGAGATTGAGAATATAATGACAAAAAATTGTTGATTTTAAGTTGTCAAATATAATTATTAAATTTGATCAAACTCATAGGAATATGAGTGTCAAAGAGAATTTTGGATACTGAGATCTCGAGTATTTCATAAGAAACAATTGTCTTTAACTATTATACTGATATAGGTTTGATCAATTTTGAAAAATATCTTTGACAACTCAAAATTAACAATTGTCGAGTGATTAAAGATAAAGTCTAAACATGAGTGTTGTCGTTGTTGTCTTTATTCAACTCGTACTTATGTAATTATGTGTCCTAAATACACATTGTATGGGTTATATTTTAAAAATAAAATTCGTATAGTTTAGATCCATGATTTTCCTTTATTTCATATTGATATTGTACAACACTAGGGGTGCTTAATAAGTTGAGTTGTTCAAACTCGATTCGGTCAAAACTTGACTCGGGTAGACTTGACTCGAACTCGAGCTTGACTCAAAACCTTAACGAGCTGAGTCGAGCAAAGTCTAACTTGACTCGATAAGTTAGCGAGCAACTCGTTAATTTTTTTAATTAATTTTTAGTAGTTATCTTTAAAAATTATTTCATTCAAAAAAATTACTAATTTGTTAATAGATAATTGAAAATGATAAATTACTAATCTATTAATTTTCTAATAGATAATTAAATATATTAAATTACTAATTACATTATTATTTACTACACCAAAAATTAAACCCTAATTATTATTTTAATGTATATATGGATTGTTATTTTAATGTTATACTTTAAATTTGTTTCATACACTCTTTTGATAATTTTTTGTTAAATTTATAATTATATTTTAATAAGTTTTATAAAGTATTAGTATATTTTACTTACACTTAAAAAACAAAAATTTTGGTGAGCTTAACAGGTAACAAGCTTAACGAGCAACGGGTTGACCAACTAATTTGGTCATTAAAGTTTAAATTTTTTTAATTTAACTACTCAACTTTTAAATTACTCATGTTTTAATCAGTCTGATTAATTTTATTAATAATATTTTATGACATGATGGATTTATTATTATTTCATTAATATTTATTTTGAAAGTTAGAGTGACTAAATAGAGTAGTAATGTGAAAGTTAAGTAATTAATTTTTTAAAAAAAAACCAATGACTAAAATAGGAGTGAGAAGATAGATAAGTGATGAATGATGTAATTACCCATAAAAAAGTATCAAGTTGTAACAATTCTGCCAGTTTTAGCATCATGGTACTAAAATGAAACAAAAACTAACATTATGTGTGATTTTAAAAAATAAAGTTAAGTACTAAAACAGATCAAAATGATAATTTAGATATTAAATACATAATTTACCCTTAATTTATCCATTAGACAAATAATGCAAAAGCTAAAACCAAAAAAAAAAAAAAAAAAAAGCTTTAATGGACCCATTTAAATCTGATGTTGATGCCTTCATCATTTGGGTCTAAGTTAGGTTACCCACTTAATCTTTCACCCCATTAACCTTTTCACTAATCTGTTCGGCTGCACCTTCTTTTTGTCCACAATATATCAGAGACATTCTTCAAGATAAAACTGAATAATATCAATCAAAATTAAACAATATATTATCCCTAAATACTTAGAATAAAGAATACTTTATATCAATTTTTTGAGTATTATCACGTTTTTTAGAAAGTGTTTCAGAGTATGTATTAGTGTGTTAACACTTTTATGATAATGATTTAACGAAACTTTTGAATAACTAATATTGATATGTATAATCCTATGGTTTTTTTAAAGTCTATCAAAAAAATAAAAAAAAAAAAAAAAGGAGTTTTGGATTTCTTAGATAAAGCTCACAAAGGCAATCCTCAATTTTTCCCCCAAACCCTATTTAAAGAATTTGAAAAGCGAAACCCTTTAGAAAAAAAAAACATTTTCTTTATATTATTATGTTAGCAATCTTCTTCTTCAGTGACCAACGACGATCACTTTCATAGAAGAAGAAAAAAACTGGGTACTCCCTGAAAAAAAGAAAATGTTGTGTCGTAAGAATTGGAGTTGTGTGGAAACAGGATCTGAACCAGTGTATCTGAACGTGTATGATCTAACGCCAATTAATGGCTATGCTTACTGGTTCGGACTTGGGGTTTATCATTCTGGTGTTCAGGGTTAGTTTTCCTACACCCTTGCTACTATCGACATTCTACAATCAACTTTCCCTCTTGTGTTTTTTGGGATCTAAAAATGGTTTTGGGTTTTCTTTTCTTCCTTTTTACTAAATCTTTGGAAATGATTCCTTCTCAGATCTGTTTCCTTCATTCTTAGATCCAAGAAAAGAAAGTTGAAAACCTTAGCTGAAGTGAGTTTGAAGAAAATTATACTTTTTACTTGCTTTCCTTTTTCTGCTATATGTCTTTAAGAAAGTTTTTCTTTTTTGGGGTGGCAGTTCATGGGGTTGAATATGCGTTTGGGGCTCACGAATATCCAACAACTGGGATATTTGAGGCAGAACCCAAACAGTGCGATGGGTTCACCTTTAGGAAATCAATTTTGATCGGGAAAACGGAGTTGGGTCCTGCGGATGTGAGGGGAGTTATGGAGGATTTGGCCAATGAATTCAAAGGAAATGCTTACAATTTAATCACCAAAAACTGTAACCATTTCTGCAACGATGTTTGCATCAGGTTGACTGGGAATCCAATCCCCAGCTGGGTTAATCGCCTTGCTAGAATTGGTAACACTCTTAAACACTGCTTTTTTATCTGTTGATTTCATTCGTGGTCCATTTTTTGCCGTTTTAAGTTGCCATGGAAACTGATTTCTCTTCTGCGTAGGGAAGATAATGGTTGAAAGTGTCAACAATGAGTCAAAATCTTATGATATTCGGATTCGGATTTAAGAGTGATGACATCTGTAGGAATAGTTTTGAAACACATATACCTTCGAGGGATCGTTATCCTATATCGGAATATGTTTCGGATATGAATACTTTGTAATTGAGATGCACATAATTTGATGTTAGTATACTATCTTATTAAATTTTAAGAGTCTGATTTATAAAATTTTAAATGAGCATAGAAAATATATAAAATGAGAATTTTAAAACTTTTAGAAGGACGATCATCGTTGATAATGTATTGTTGATTTGGTAGGGTTCTTCTGCAACTGCGTTCTTCCAGTGACTTTAAGTGCAACCAAGGTGAAGCATCACAGAATCGAAGACAAATCCTGTGAAGGAGAAAAGAAGAAATTGACGAACGATTCCAACAGATTCACGTTATCTTCAACCTCATCTTCGAGCTCATCGCCTTCGACCACTGAATCTCAGACTCGGGGTAGACTTCACCATTCATTCTTGCTCCATCATCTTGATTACTTTTATTTTCTTTTGAAAGCAAAGCCAAGGCTTCCTTTTTGGGTTGCAATATTTTTGTTATTATTCTAACATTGGGAATATTTGGAGGCTTGAAATCTGTACATTTGTAAGTTATCAATTCTTTCTAATGGCTTCTTTATGTTTTTTTTTGGTACATTATTTGCTCATTTCTTTAAACATACATTCTTTGTTTTTAATCTTGCGGATGGAGGAGATTTTATTAATGCAATTTATTACAAAATTCTGAAAGGTTAAAAAAGAGCCTAGAAAGCATGGCAATTGCCAAATAACAATTAGAACTTAGGGTCCCACATATATATATTTGTCTTAACCTCTAGCGTTCAGATCACATTTAACCATTTCCAGTATAAGACCACATTTAAAATGTCAAATTATTATGTTGTTTCTTTAAGAATTAATAATAATACCGCCCAACACACCCAAAAACTACCACTTACTTTTTTAACAACTGCACACTCGAGTAATTGATGAATGTGATACTTTACGTCAGCTTATACAACATTGTTATCAACTATTTTACTTCAACACACCTTCCACGAAAAGCCGATACCAAAAGTATCGCTAGGAATTACAAGAAAGAATTACAGATGTTAAAATTATAGTTTTTCTGGACGTTCATCGTTTAAAGAGTAACTATGGGAACTAACTTGATTAGACCTGGGTTAGGACCTACTTTTGTCGTAGTTTGTCCTGAAAGAAAAAACATCTTTACAAGACCACTCAAATCCTCCAGAAGAAACGTCCCCTGTCTTTTCAATTGAACATCAAGCAGTCATCAGAAGCAAATGAATGGCGGACATTCCAGCACAATGATACCATCAAATTAACTCTTAACGTGAATGGGATATAAGCAGACATGGGCACAACACAAGGAAAAACATCCAACTTATGCCATTATGTATGCACCCGGTTAACTCCAAATCATATGCTCCCAAAAGGGTTACCTAAAGTTGATTGTCCAAGACAACTTTCAAGTCCTTTTCACTGCATGATATACAACCATCAAGCATAAAGCTTATCAAGGCATAACCATGCAAGGCGGAGCTGTTTCTATCAGACATGTTTCATGCAAAAAAATAAAAATAAAAAAGAATAGCAGAGCGGATTGACACTAGAAAGGTAAATTTTATGAAATTCACACTATGCTTACCGAAATTGATGTCCAACAGATTGTTCGCCAGTGCCCTTAGGAAACTTAAAATGCTGGTTGCTGATGACAGTCCGATGTAGGTACATAGACGATGAGGTTGATCTTCACAGGGAAGTATGAAAGAAATATTACCAATTTCATTTATGCTGTATCTGATGAATCAATTTGTTCATAATATAACATCATAATACAATATTTTAAATATCAAGACAAATACAATTCGATACATTGAGATTATCCTCTGCATATATGTAACACCGAGAAACTAACTTTGGAAGGTATGTTTTGAGGAAGACCTTCACGTTTTGAAGATAAGCTGGATAAACATTGTGCTACAACTTGAACATTCCTGACAACAGATTATTCACAATACATTGTTATTACATAATGCAAGCCTAGGCAAACTTTCAAGTCGATTTGTCTTCTCCCAGAAACAAAGAAGAAGAAAAAATTCACGAAAGGCTCTAGAAAAACAGATCAAAGAGAGGAGGCTTAAACTTTAAAAAGAACCTGTATTTATACCGAATGAAGTTTATAGCTGAGAATCAAGTGGACCAAAGCTAATAGATTTTAGCTCTGCTTCCCTGCATCCATTCTACGAAGTTGTCCAGGATCAACGGCCAAGCGAGGTCCGGATTATAATTACCAAGGTTCGGGAAAGTTATCTGCTAATATATCAGAGAAGGGAAAATGCAAGCACTTGCTCAATTATTAACATGAGGAGGATCTCAGACAAGAATATGGCTCTGATAACAGGGTTACTAAGACAAATAACGGTGCAAGGATGCAATCATGCAAGTAGCAGTTGAAGATTATATTAAAGCTACAACATTTATTTCTAGTTCTCTATCCTATCTGATGATAAATAATAGGGGGGGGGGGGAAGTAAATGTGTCCATACATTGAACTGCGAAGATCAATGATTTCCAACCATTTGTACTGTCCCGTTTTCTTTTTGTTCAAAATAATCCCAATTCTTATGCTAAAGAGAGTTAATATCTGTATTGTGATCCATATTTGCGAGAAAAAGAAGATGAAAGAAAACAAAAAGAAAAGAGACCAATAAAATCTCATGAGAAAGGATTCAATTATAACCACAATCTGCAGGAAGTGATGGCATCCCTTCCGTCTTCTCTATTATTTTACAAATATGCTAGGGTGATCCTGCTACACACTACCAATCACTATTGTCTTGTATAACTAGTAAGAACGTCATCCAAGACACTAGTATAATTGTACAAGTTATCCCAAAATCCCTTTTTAATTAAAGTGATTTCTGCGTGAGCATGACATATGAAATTAACAGAAATATTTGCTGACCCTATTTTATATCGTGGAACATCTAAACTTAGGGAACACATTAGAAAATTCCATGACAAGCATTAAGTTTGATGTACCTCATTGCAGAATCGAAAAAAGCCCATCCATTGATCCAAGTTTATGACCTTATAATCGCTCTGAATCTACATTAAAACACAATCATGGTATGAGCCTCATTTATTTTTTGGACAGAAGGGCAACTTTGTTCTGTAAAATAGTCTATAAAGTCATTAGATTCATTTCTGCAACTTTAGAGCTAATAAATTAAACATTTAAATCAGATTAATCCTATTTTATAAACAAACTTTTGTAGAGTCCATCAATTTAACAGACATTTTAACACGTGCAGACACACACATACACAATCCTAAAAGATAAAACTGAAATGAACTCGTCCCCACAATAACTTATGAAGTTGTGTCTGTATAAACAGAAACATAAAAGGGATGAAGTATAAACAACTCCAATCTATGAGGTCAAATGCAATAATTGTCATAACCCACCTTCAAATACTCAATAAAATAGTCAACCTGTGCACGGAATTGGGATCCTAAAACAAGATCCAGCAATTGACATATGCTTTCTATATCAATACTCTTTTGTTTCTCCTCTGCAACCGTGAAATCGAGAAGTGGGAGATCAATCAGGAAAATGGGACAGTGTAAAGACATCCAAGATACATGCCACAATATTATCATAATACCTGTCAGGCAATAGCAGAATGAATAGGAATAGAAATCCTCAAAGTTTGATGGTCTCCTGACCTATTTATAATATAAAAAGAGAACATCGTCACTTTTGCAGACATTTCCACCATAATTATCTTACACAAGTAAATCAACCGCAGGTATCAGGCAGTTCAGAATTTTCTACCTCTTTTTCTAGCTCTGGTAGGGCCTTCCTTAACTTACTTACAGTATCAGCCCTCAGTGCTTTTAGTCCTCTTCTCCATTCCTCCTATAAATATAAGGTTCAAACGCCATTTTCATCATAACATAAAAAAAATATAGAGAGAACTTGGGATTTAAGGAATCATTATATTGCTAGTTATAAGGTACAATGTATCAGTCAACCTATATCCAAGCTGTTATGACACTCCTAATGAGGATCATAACAATATGAAGAAGAAACTCCTATCAACAGAGATTTTTTCAATAAAAACTAAAAAGTATTTTCGCAGCTCGTGGAAATCATGATCAAATCACAGATATTGGAAATTGATCAAAATGAGTACAATCAAGACCCAAAAATGGCAATTAACAAAACCATAGATGACAACAGAAATCCAGGCATCGATGTACAGCCTACATGAATAGTCAACCTAAAAAAGGAGACTGGAAACTGATTTTTCTATACGACCATGCCATGTTAAAGAAGAAAAATAATCAGAGGGCATAGAAACATATAGCAATTTCATTCAACCAAATTATAATAGATCACATTAACAGTTAAATTATAAAAGTAAATGGAGAAGGTAAACAAAAATTCTTACCAGGGTAAAGTATCCTTGTTTTTCAGCTTTCATTTTCCTGACACATGCACAATTCAACAGAAAAGCTTAGGATAAAAGCTATAAATGAGTTATTGGACGTGTTTATATGACAGTTACCAAGCAAGCATCAAGATCCTAACATCTGTGTGATCAACTTCCATGTTGGAACATAGAGTTTCGATTCCTTCTGGGCTGTTCAATAGTTTATCATAACATTAGAATGCAGTTCAAAATAGTCAAGCAGCACTCATTTCCATGATGATGATACTAATTTTTAATGCACAACACTAACAAATTATAAAAACTGTAATTGAACATGCAGCTATCAGCATCCTTATTTCAGCTTTGCATCGAGAATTCACAGTATTAAGTATTTCTAGAAAAAAGTTAAATATAATTTTGTGAATGACCCCTGAACTAATTCGATTGTCATTTGGACACTTCTATTCTATGCAGTCATGCCTCTTCAATTCCTAGAGTACCCACATCCAACATATCTGACATACTAAAGTACGTTCCAGCCTTCTAAGAGAAAACTTAGAAAAAATGAACCCAAATCTTGTCGAAAATAAACATATATCCGGCACTTACTACTGAGTCCAAGCAACATGGGGAGTTAACTAGTGCAAAAGACCAGTTAGCTTGACTTGTTAGCTATTGGATTTAATCCATCATCAAATCATTCCATAGGTAGATATAAGCAGATTACCCTTTAAAATTCTCTAAGCAGAAAACTTGGGCTGTGTACCACATAGAAAAATTTAATCTCAACTTCATTACAGCTTCCCAGTTCGAAAATAAATCCTATAATCACAGCTCAAATGAAAGAAAATCTGTTATGCTCCAAAGCTTACTTGGTTATTGTGAAACTATCTTTTTTCAATTGTCACTATTGAAAATGCCAAGAATTTAAACCTTTCAGAAAAATAATTTTGAAATTTGAACTTACTATCATATATATTGAAAATCAAAGAAGAAATCTAACAAACATATACTGTTGCTTGTATACACATAAACTCCATTCAAGCAGTCAACCAGCATATCAGTCATCCGATCTAAAAGATTTGAACTTCATAGCACATTGGCATTTTGTCATAATGAGCTCACATATCAGATTGTGACTAGAATCCCTAACATCTATATGAAAGAGAAGGGAGCAAGACAGGATATGTAGGTTGGATGACACCGCCTGAAAAGTACACAATTTTAAACTTAAAAATTATTTAAAAAGGGTTGGGTGTAACATATTAGTAGTTATCGAAAATCCATATAACAATATAATTCTCCAAAATAACAAAGGTGCCAGAAGACCTGAACAAAACTAGGAGAAGAGAATTATTCTTATTGTTCTATCTTCCAAGAATCAATAGTGTACAATTTATAGGAAAGTAGACAACAAAGAATATGAAATAATTCCTAAGAATCTGGAACTAAGATTTAGAGAATATATAGTCTAAGTTAACTCCTAGAATTAAGGAATAATTTTATTCCTTAACATATATAATTCCAACACTCCCCCTCAAGCTGACGTGTCGATGTTAATCAAACCCAGCTTGCCACTAAGTTCTTCAAACTGGATTTTATTGAGACTTAACAAGTCTACAACTTGTTGTTTCGTGGGTAAGTAGGTTATGCACACCTCTCCCGAGTCGACTTTTCTTTGATAAAATGTCGATCTATCTCCACGTGTTTGGTACGATCGTGATGGACTGGATTATGTGCTATACTGGTCGTTGCCTAGTTGTCACAGTACATCTTCATGGGCCTGTCATATGGTACTTGAAGGAGTTCCCTCATTAATCTTTGTATCTAAATTCCCTCGCATATACCATGCGACGAAGCTCGATACTCAGCCTCAGCACTACTACGAGCAACGACAGAATGCTTTTTACTTCTCCATGTCACCCCATACATAGCTACAGTAACCACTCATAGAGCGTCTGCCTCTCACTGAACCAGCCCAATCTGCATCAATATAAACCTCCACATATCTACTTTCTGTTTTCTTAAAGTGTAGACCTTTCCCCGGTGTTCCCTTCAAGTACCTTAGCACTCGGATGACACTTACCACGAAAGCGATATCGGGTCATGTGTGAGATAGATATATGAGTTTTCCCACAAGTTGATATCTCCCTCTGTTTACTTCATCTCCATCCTCATTAATGCCTAACTTCAAATTGAACTCCATTGTGGTCTCGACAGGTTTGCAGCCCAACATGACAGTTTCAGTTAGTAAATCAAGGACATATTTTCGTTGAAAAATTGAAATACTTGTTTGTGTCCACATTACTTCCATTCCAAGAAAGTATTTGAGGTTTCCCAAGTCCTTAAGCTCAAATTATGTGCTAAGGAATTTCTTCAGTTCACTAATTTCACTAGGATCATTCCCTGTAAGTATGATATCGTCAACATAAACGATAAAAATTGCACATTTACCAGTTCCCAAGTGATTGTGAAACAAAGTATGATCAGCTTGTCCTTGAATGTATTTTCTGTTGGCCCTGACTTTAGCAAATCGACTGAACCATGTCCTTGGGGACTGTTTCAACCCTTATAAAGACTTCCTTAATTTGCACACTCGACCCTTCTCTTCTTCAAACCCCAGAGGAAAATCCATATATACTTCCTCGTTCAATTCGCCATTGAGAGAGGCATTCTTACATCTAGTTGAACCAATGGCCAATCTCGATTGACAGCAAGGGAAAGAAGTATTAATACCGTATTAAGTTTTGCAACTTGTGCGAATGTCTCGTCGTAATCAAGACCATATGTTTGGGTGATGCCCTTGGCAACAAGCCTAGCCTTGTGCCGATCTATGTTGCCATCAAATTTGAATTTTGTAGTAAAAATCCATTTGTAGCCTACTGTTTTTTTCTTCCTTCAGGCAGATCTGAAATTTCCCATGTTCCTTGCTTTTGAGAGCCTTCATTTCTTCTAAGACAGCTTGTCTCCATTCGGCTGATTCAAGAGCTTCTTCCACACTTCTTGGGGTGTCTACATGATCAATATTAGTCACAAAAGTCTTATACGCCTTAGATAAATTCTCATAAGATACAAACCGAGAAATAGGGTGTTGGGTATATGTCCTTGTGCCCTTACGAACTGCAATAGAGAGATCAAGAGATGCTTCGGGCATGGAACAATCATCGGGTTTGGATGAGATTGGCATTGTGCTGTGTCAACTCAGAAGAATGTTTGCGCCGAGAATAAACAAGGAGTTCAGGAGCTTGTTGTTGCTGTTGTTCGGTAGTCAGTACAGTGTTTTGAGGCTGTTGTATTTTTGTGGGAAGGGAAGCAATATCACTGTATCAGGGATCATAATAATATCATGGTTATTAGGATTTGGTGTGATCGGGATAGTTGGACTAGGATCAGGAGGTATGATGAGAAGAGTATTGAGATTCTCATCTTCATTGAGAGTCTCCCCTGAAGATGAGTTGTTGAACAATAAGGTCCAGATTCAAAAAAATGTGACATTGCGAGAGACAAACATGCGATGCAAGGAAGGAGAATAACACTTGTACCATTTTTGTATAGATGAATATCCTATGAAAACACATATGTGAGCCCGAGGATCTAGTTTAGATTGGTTGGGTTGGTGACAATGAACAAAGGCCTTGCACCCAAAGATTTTTGCTGGCAATATGGGAACACAAAATAGTGGAAAGGCTTTTTGTAGGGTATTGAGAGGGGCTTGGAAGTTGAGGACCTTGGAAGACATTCAGTTTATTAGGTAGCAAGCAGTGAGTACCACCTCACCCCAAAAATATTTTAGGACATTCATTGTGAACATTAGGGCTCGAGAAATGGCTAGTAGGTGTCGATTTTTCCTTTTGGAAATTCCATTTTGTTGTGGTGTATACAAAGGGCAAGAGCTTTGATGTATAATTCCTTGATCGGAAAGGTATGGGCTTAAGACAAAGTTGAAGTATTCTCTTTCATTATTGGTGTGGAGCGTGTGTATAGTTGAGTTAAATTGGGTACGAATCATGGAATGGAAACTCTGAAATATTTTTGGTGTTTCGAATTTTTAATTAGTATGGTCATCAATGAAGGTAATGAACCATCTAGCTCCCGTAACATTTTAAACTCGACTAGCCCCCACAAAGGTCACTGTGAATCAAAGAGAAAGGTTGGGATTGGATATATGATTTTAAGGGGTATGGCACACGTGTATGTTTAGATGTTTGACAAGTTTCACATTTGAAGGAATTGACATTTTTATTCCGAAATAATTGAGGAAACAATTGTTTCAAATACGGGAAGTTTGGGTGCCCCAACCTACGGTGCCATAACATTATGATATCCTTATTCGAAGCAGAAAGTGTTGTTCCTACTTGCAAGTCTCCTTGTTTATTCACTTCATTGTGATTATCCCATATGTAGAGTCCATTGTCTACCTTAGCAGTGCCAATCATCCTCCCCAATTTCTGTTTCTGTAGAACACAACCAAGAGCAATTCAACAAGGACATTCTTATCCTCCGTGAGTTTACTAATTGAAAGTAAGTTACAGGATAAATTAGGGACATGTAGAACTTTATGCGAAAAATTCTCAGTGGGATTACAGTCCCAATTCCAGCAATTGGAGAGTAAGAGCCATCTGCTATTCGGATATGTGATTGGTTGTGACAGAGGGCATATGTGTGAAACAGGGACAAATTACCCGTCATATGATCGGAGGCACCCGAATCTAAAATCCAGTAGGACTGATACAGGATTCAAAGGTAGTATTAAGAGCAGTACCTTGAACGGCCAATGATCCATGTGCGGTTACTTGAGTGATATTATGAGACACACGCGAAGTCTCATATTCAAAAGAGGTTTTTGTATTGTCTTCCATGAGAGAAAGACAAGACAAGATGGATTTAAAAAAAAAGATGAGCAGAATCAAGTAAGACCTAAAGCTATGATGTGATGAACAAAACTAAGAGAAGAGAATTATTCTTATTGTTCTATCTTCCAAGAATCAATAGTGTATAATTTATAGGAAAGTAGACAGCAAAGAATATGAAATAATTCCTAAAAATTTGGAACTAAGATTTAGAGAATATCAAGTCTAAGTTAACTCCTAGATTTAAGGAATAATTTTATTCCTTAATAGTCTAAGTTAACTCCTAGATTTAAGGAATAACTTTATTCCTTAATATACAGAATTCAACAAGAAATGTAAATACCAAACTTACAAATTCACTTACTGAATTGCATATTCCACTAAGCACTTACTCAATCATACCAGAAGACCTACTGGCATAAAAATAAAATAGGTTGTCAATCCGTTCCATCTCTTTTGAAGATGCCTTACTTGAAGCTGAGAAATATAAAACGAAGTGTCAAGTACGAAACCTTAGACAGCTTAATCAATAAATTTGAAAAACAAATAACTTTAAAGCATTCTAAACACATGGTCTACAGTGAAGTCTCAAGTTTTGGTAAATAACATGTTAATAGAGGCCAAATTGAACCATAGTATTGTCATGATTGGCGTACTGGATTGGAATGCATGGTCTAGCATATTAGATTCGGAACTTAAAAGTTCATATATTTTTTAAACAATGAAGCACACATTAACCCAAATTAATACACTTCCATTTTTTTTATAATCCCATTTGAATTACAACTTCCACGTGTTTCAGGACAAGTTCAGATTTCATATCAGTATGCCTTTAATCCTAATCAGAGTAGAAAGCAAAATTGGTAACTGATTCTTTCCTATCCTACAATGGACTACTATTACTATCCCCAGGTCCTTAAAAAAGAAATCTGCTAGACATACATAAAATCTTGATAGAATAATCTTCTTAACTTATTTGATTGCTTTTCAACAAATTATTATTTCTTGTGTTTCTCCAAGCATATTTATCATTATTCTCACTTGCTCAGGTTTCCATTTTCAACAATCAAATATACTCAATCTTTTAATTGCTTTAACCTTGGTGAGAAGCCCTGTCTTGCTAATTGGTGTACCATACATGCAACATATATTGATAACAAGATATAATTTCTTCTCAGTTATGGCCAAGGATTTTGCTTCAATTTTCAACTTCTCTTACTGAACCCAAACATGATTTCAAGATTTAAATGCCTTAAGAAGATTGCATTCAAGTTATAATCTACCCTCAGGCCTCAAGGATTTTGCTTTAAGTTTCAACTTTTCTTAATTAGAATTTTTTTCACGCTATTAAGATTTAACTATCCTAAGAAGACCGAATCAAGCTATGATCTACCCTAAGATTTCAACTTTTCAATTTGGCAAGCCCAAGGGGGCACCAGCAAGGAGAACTTGAGTACCTTTTTAGAACCTTAATCGGGAGAGTATATGGAATTAGGGGCCACCCCAAAACCTCATTCCAAACCCTAGGCTATTTTGTTTCATGCTTTATTTTCTGTTCAAAGCATGCGAACTAGACAAATATGCGGTTAGGATTTGTTTGAAATTAGCATGCGGGATAGAAATCATGTCCGGGTAGGAATATTAAGCATGTTCGGGTAGATATCATGTGGGGTAAGACTTTTATTTTTCATGATTATTTTTTATTATTTTTACCTCACTACCTCTTTTTTTTCTCTTTCATTTTATTTTCATCACTTACATCATTTAAAAGAGGTGTTGATCCACCAAAAACGTGTTTGTTAAACATGAATAATCTGCATTAATGGACAAAAGGGTTGTAATACAAGAGATAAAAATACAGATGACAGTCTACAAGGAGACTATGTGTCACATTCAATCCAGAGGACGTGTTGCCCACAATTGAAGAGTATATCACTATATTGCATTATAAAGGACTTGATGAACCGGGTCTACATCAAGCACAATGAAAGCTTATCTTTGAAGAACTGACTGGCAGAGGTTGCAGGGACAAGATGAAGGTTATGTATCTTAGAAGTCCCTTTAAACACGACAATGGCAAAATGATAGCTGAAATTGGAGACCATTGTTGGCGAATTCAAGAAACAGACTAATGAACTTCACATAGTTCCTATCAATTAAGGGCTCAAATGACGGATTCGTTGGAAACAGGCTCAACAAAAGTAAATGCTCGAGATGCGGTCATTCGAGCTTCTTGGACCAGTACAAAAAACAACTCAACATTTTCACGGTTCATCCAGATAGGCCGGAGCTGTTCGACAGGTTATTCAACCGGTGAAAGACGAAAGCAGAAGACTAGTCAACATGTCAGAAGCTGTCAGGATATTTTTGTCTCTTAAAAGATAAAACATTTTTGTCCCCAATAAGGATTATTCATAATAACAGGCACATTTCTTGGGTCAATGCCTCGAACATTTCATGCATTCTTGCATTTTTGCATCTTCATCTACATTTTTAAGCATTTTCATAAACATAAAATTAAGTCACGGAGGATTCGATGAAGTGGTCTTAACCACATTACACCACATGGAAACAAGATTTTAACAATTAAAGAAAAACTGAAATCAGTACAGGGGGAGCTGGATCAGCTGATTGTAGGACTAAGCCTGCCAGGATAATATGAGAAAAGAGTACCCATCTCCTAAGGGCTACAATGTTGAAGCTATTGCCACATAAGGATCCCCAAACATTCCTCTGAAAACTGTAAGGCACTGAAGCGCAAGATCCAAACTTTGATGGATTCAGGGGCATGGACAGCCGAAGAAGGGGGCATGACATATACCATTTGCACTTAGAGCATTGTTTTGTTTGAACACGGCTTTGATCTTTCGTGTTTGTTTAATCTTTTGACTGAATTTATGCTACCTTTTAAGGTGGAGTAATTGAACAAATTTTAATCTTTAGTTCTCTGAATAGTAAATGAATTAAAGATTCTTTTAATTCTTCAAGAATTATAGATTTTTGACATATGGCAAGATTAGACCTTTCTTACCCTGTCTCAAACCCTAGAATAAAATACCTTGATTCTTTGCCCAAAATAACTCGTGGTCATTACCAAAAGACAAAATTTTGACATTACCTCCTTTTGAAATTCTTGAACATTGCCTTTATCTTTTTAACACACCCATACCTTTCTTTGAGTCAATAAGATCACACCACCGTCTTTTTTTTAGACTCAAAAATAGCCTTTTTTACCATTAAAACCCAAGGCATTGAGTTGTTCATTTGAACATGAGCACTCTTCTAAGACACAATTTGGGGCATCTAGCCGGGAGCCTGAACATTAAGACATGTTGGGAGCAAGAAGCAGAAAAAACAATTCATTCGAAATAATTCTATCATGCATTAATTACATTGTTTTCATGTGAATAGAATTAATCCTGAAAATCTATCCCCCTGGGGATACCTTTTCTGTGAAGACTTATATGTATGAGATGATGAACGGCTTTCTTTCTTTATCCTTTCACAACAGGAGAAAATATATATCCCTTGTATCCCCTTTTGAGCCTATAGTATTTTTCTTCTGATTCAACCCTAACCAAGTATCACCCTCCACACTGGGGGGCAAGGTGGAGAAAATCTGCTCGCATGAGTGAAGACATTGATTCAGATGAGATACCGAAAGGTGAACCAAATGACAAGTGCAAAGATTCAATCAGAATAAAAAGGGCAAAAAGAAAAAAAGAAAAGAAGCAAAAAAGGAAAAAAGGAAAAAAAAAACAAGAACAAAGAAGAAAAGAAGCAAAAATCAAAAGGACAAGGGACAAAAAGCACATGCAAAGATTCCCTAAAGACAAATGGCACATCAAGCTTCAAACTATGAGATTGATCAAGCACAATCATTCCCGAATCACTGAATCACTTTACTTGAAGATCATGAAACATCCAAAGAAAATCCAGAGAAACAAATATGAGCAGATCCAAGTTGAGCAAGACAGGATTGAAGGCATCAGAATGAATTGATCTTTGGTTCAACACCCTGAAACACTTGTTTGAGCCTATTTATCCTTTTCTTTCATAACCATGAACCCTGACCTACATTACGTGCCTTAAAAGTCCATTCTAATCATACATAGATTTCTAAACAGAAGAGACTATCTTCAGATTTCATCCCGCCCATCAGGATTAATCTTTGTTTGCAAAAAACAATGTAATTAATGCATGGTAGAGAAAAATAACAAATGGGGGTTCAAGACGTAAATCCTGAATAACGTTTTGAAACCAAAGGAGGGTTCGAGTTGAAAACCTGAAAAGGCGGCTCGAATATAAAAATTGTGCAACTGAGGCATTCACACAAATTCCTTGATAAGGCATCGCACAATCCGAGTGTGACCACGAGGGTTGGGAGTCAGAGAACACTTCCAGTAGAGGAGTATGCAGGCTACCCCATCAAACCTTCGAGCATCAAATGCCAAACCTTTGAGCATCAAATGTCAAACCTTTAACCAAACACGATAACCTGAGACTTTTTTATCCTATCCTTACTTAACCATTTCCCAAAGATAGCTTTGATCTTGGCACTTGTCAAATAGCTATAATTTATTGAAGGATTAACATTGTAATTAATTCTTTGATATCCGATGAACTCTAGTTTTATGATTCGTCTCAATTGTAAAACCGTGAAAGTGACAATATTTTCAAAACTTTGGATAAAACATTTTTCAAAACTCTTTTAATTGATATTTTCATAACTTTGAAAATAAAAGAGAAAGAAAAACATTTTTTTTCAAACAAGACAGTCTCTCTAGAGTAGATCTTGGTAAATGACATGTGACTCTTAGATACAAAACTCATGCTCAGAATCAATGCTGAAGCAAGAAATGAGGAACATTTGGGGCATCTTTGAAGATTCAACATCAAATATTGGGGCATTTTTGGATATTGGGGCATCTTTGGGGATTCAACATCCTAATACAAATTATCAGACCTTTTTCAGGAGATGAAATATAACCAATTCATGTTACATGCATCTTATGCATACATTTTAGAGCATCATATTCCACATACATATTTTTTGTAGCTTTTAGAGTCAAGTTTCGACTTCAAGACGAAGGATACTCGATTCAAAAGAACTTTTAAAGATTCATGTTGGTTGCTTAACTCAACAGCAGGAAGCTACACTTCGACCAACTCGACATATTGAAAGTTTCTCTCGAAACAACACAATTTGCTCGAGAGTAGATTTCAACTTCACGACGGAGGATATCTAACTCGAAGCTAAACTTTATAATAAAGGGTCTCCACGGTTTCAACTTCACGGCGAAGGGAATCGTGTCCACCCGCAACATACAATACTTGGACTTTAACTTCACGATGAAGGATATTCAAGTCAAGGCTCAACTTCACAACGAAGGGGCCATCCGCGATTTCAACTCCACGACGGAGGATATCGTGCCACTCAAGACAACACAAGTTCAACTTCACAACGAAGGGACGACTGGTTGTCAACAAACCATTTCCCAATTTCAGAGCCAATTTCAACTTCACAGCGAAGGATATTGGACTCGAGACAACACAAGTTCAACTTCACAACGAAGGGACGACTGGTTGTCAACAAACAATTTCCCGGTTCCAGAACCAATTTCAATTTCACGGCGGAGGATATTGGACTCGGAACAATACAACTTACTTGGATTTCAACTTCACGATGAAGGATATCCAATTCCAGACTCAACTTCACGACGAAGGGGTCACCCGCGATTTCAACTTCACGACGAAGGGAATCGAGCATACAAGCAACACCCATCTTTATATAGTAGATTTCAACTTCACGACGAATGATATTCAACTCAAAGAAGGGGTGACTATCAACAAACTTTCCAGTTTCAGAGTCAATTTCAACTTCACGTCGAAGGATATTGGCCTCGAAACAAAGCAACCTATATTGGATTTCAACTTCACAACGAAGGATATCCAGTTCCCAGGCTCAACTTCACGACGAAGGGGCCATACACAACTTCACAACGAAGGGTATCATACCCTAAAAGATGGACCCAACTTCACGACGAAGGAGTCATCTGTAACACCACAACACCAAAGTCTTCAAGTCGAGTTTCAACTTCACAACGAAGTATCTTTGGCTAGAAGACAATCCATGAGCTACTTCCAGTACTCTGAGTTCAGTTTCAACTTCACGACAAAGGATTCAGGCTCAGAATTTTCTAGTTTTGACTCAACCTCACGACGAGGGGGTCATTTCGTATTGACAAACCAGTTTCCATATCGGATTTCAACTCTACGACAGAGGATATTCGATATGACCGAAATTTGTGTCTTTTAATCTTTGCTCTATTTTCGTTACACGATAATGAGCAAAGAGGGGCAGCTGTAGACACCAAATTTTGACCCATTATAATATTTAATATAAAACATATTATATATATTATATATGTAATATTATTATTTTTATTAACATATATTCTTTTTATTATTTTTTCAGGCCCCACACTCAACAACCCTGATCTAGTGAGATTCAACCCAACGTATTTGAGTCCTATTGAAACACTAAAATTGAAGTAATTTGAGTCCAAGTGGGACTCTAAATCTGAGCTAAAAATAGGTTTCTTTATACTATAAATAGACTCAAGCATCAAGAGGAAAAAGGGGGGGAGAAATCTGGCAGATCCAAGGTGATCAATGCGGGAACCAAATCGGTGCCAAGTACCGGGAAGTCATATGCGACGAGCATGGAATCGACAACACCAGAAAGTATTGTGGATACTCCCCCCTTTAGCTTCTAGAGAGTCTGTTGTGGGTGTTATTGCTCGTGATCACTTTGGGACAGTCCTCTCTGCCTACTGTTCCAGTTTCACAACACAACAACCCAACTATGGTTGAAGTTACAACAATAACGAATGGCATCCTTTTGGCTTTGGAGATGGAGTGTGATTCTGCAATTTTTGAGAGGATGCAATTAACATTGTTACTCAATTATATTATGATGCTTTGGATTTTTCAAAGCCCATTCGAAGATCGACAATAACAAAGAAAAAAAAAGGGAATTGAAGAGAGAAAGAGGGAAAGATGGAACCCATCGTCGTCTTCTTACGGCGGCGGATCTGTCATTCTCGCTCCTGGTCCTGTTGGAGCCACAACAACCATGACGAAAATGAAACCAGACTGTCGGCTATTCAAAGCCTTGCTCGAAGAAGCCGAGAACGAGATGATGCATTTAATGACGATGATAGAGCTTGTGCAACCCAAATGGTACGAAAAGGCTCATCGTTCTTACTGTGCAAGGAGTATTCATCAATGCATTCTTTGTTCTTTATTTGCTTTCTGCCAAATTAGTACATATAATTGTTGGGTATATGGAAAAGGAGTCGTTCACTCATATACAGATTATTTGAAGGTCATTGAAAGTGGGCTTGTTAAGATTTTCTTGGAGCCCGCGTTTCAAGTATTTTACATATTATTCTAACATTTTTTTCTCTTAATTAATTAATTAATTTATTTGTTCTCTTTAATTTACTTAGTATTTTTTTTAATCTAACATTTTTACTTTCTTTTTTAGGGATAATTTTAACTAATTAAAGTTAAATGATTTGAATCAAGTATTTAAATTTTAATTTTCGCGACTAAGACAACTGACAAATTAATTGGTATTGTAAGGGCAGTACAAGAGTGCTAATCCTTCATTGACTGTAACCGACTCCCGAACCCGACACATTTCTGGTAAAACGCAGATCAAGTAAGATGGTGTCCGACCAGCCTAAATATTTTTTAAAATGATCGGTAGCGACTCTAACCCACTCATTTCAAGTCAAAGCCCAATTTCGGGGCCCAACTGAAAGACGATTCCGACAGATATGTTAGTAGTTATAAGTATGATTACATTAATGATCTAAATATATTCAAAACCAATATATATATATATATATATATATATATATATATATATATATATATATATATTATAGATTTAGGATCACTCTCAAAGTTTATTAGACATTCCTCTAACCTTAAGTCAAAATTTCATTGATAAATTATCTAATTTTTAATAATAAATTTTTAATAATTATTTTGATTTAATTGAAAATTGTTGAATAAAACATAATGATAAACTAAATAATTTTAATAAAAATTATCTTAATTATATGAATTATTATGTTATATAAGAAGAATTAAAAAAACTAATAGGTGTCTTTCTATTATTTTAAAAAATAATGAAATAAAGCATTCTTCAATTCTTAACATATGTCCATAGTATAATGAAAAAATATTTCTATTTAAATAAATTTTTAATTGAACATAAGACTTAAAAGAAAATTAATTATATTGCCACATGTAATTTAAAAGATTTCTATTGAAATAAAATTTTAATTGCTCATACGAGTTTGAGCTTGAAACATGGTATCAAGATGGTTTTTTTCCCTGTACGGCAGTCCAAAAATAAAATTTATAATATAATATTATTAGACTTTTAATTTGGGATGTACGCTAGTTGTTATATTGTTTAAAAAATATGTCATGTCAATGTGATAAATTTACTTAAATAATATATTTTTATTTAAATTCATCCTCTTATGATTTTTTTTATTAATTTTTATTACATTTGAAAAAAAAATTAAAAAATTACTTTTTATTAAAACTCATCAAATGATAAGTTCTATACATTATAAAAATATGGTAGATCTCAAATTGAAAGTCTAACACTCTTGTTTTACAAATTTTATTTTCAAACCGTCATATTGGGAAAAAAAACTGTATTAAGATACCGTCCAACTCAGACAAAGCCTGATGGGCCTAACAGGCCGTTTGTTCGTCTTAATGTACGGTGATCTAGCGTGGTGTTTAACTAACGCAACGCGTCCTCCCCGTTAACCCACATCGCATCGCACAATAACCAGCAACCCTCAGTTTTTCTCACATATATATTTGTTCCATCTACCCTTTCTCTACATTTTCCCCTCCTTTCAACACCAAAGTCGAAGTTTCTTTTTCTGCAAGGTAATTTCCATTTTTTTTCTTACTGCTCGTATCTTATCTGTTTTGTTTTATTTTGCATTGCGAATATTTGAAAGTTTATTATGATCGCAAATTTTTAGTATCTGATCGATTAATTTTGCAGTTTCGTAATGTCTACATTTGGCGCCGTTTCCGCCAATCATAACCCTAACAAATCATTAGAGGTATTCGTTATTTAATTTGTATATGATGTTTTATATGATTCACATGTTTAGTTTTAACTTCAATTTGCTAATTACTATTATCATTTACTTCAATTTTACTGTTGCTTTTACTAGTGAGCTTTATTTTAGTTTCTGTTTTTAACCTTGCGAGTTGAATAAATTCTGTTTCTTACTGTACTTTTCGAGGTTAAGGAGGAGAAACTATAAAAATTATATTCTTAGCTTTTGGTTAAGTAATACTTGAAGTAGTGATAATTAGACTAACTGAACGAACATACAGGTATGTTCGTGTTCGTTCCTAACTTTAACCGAACAAATGAACGAACACGAACATAAACAATTTTTTTTTCTTGTTTGTGTTCGTTCGTTAAGGAATGTAACTTGTTCGTGTTCGTTCATGTTCGTTCATTTAAATGATAAACGAACACAAATTAACGAACATAAACGAACGGATATAAATGAACATAAACAAACACAATAAACGAACGTAAACGAACACAAACAACCGTAAACTAACACAATAAATGAATATAAACGAACGTAAACAAACATAAATGAAAATAGATTTTCTTTCTTTCCTAACAATTTTAGGATTATATTTTATTTAATTGTTTTGGGCTTTTTTATTTGTATTTAAAATTAATTGAAATTTAAAATATTTATGGGTATTAGATTAAAATTTATTGAGCTTTAATATTTTAAATGGGTCTAGAGAGATTGGGCTAAACATAAATGAACACACATAAACGAACATATTACCGAACCTTCACGAACGTAAATGAACGAATGAGCCCTCTGTTTGTTTTCGTTCATTTAATTAAACGAACAAAAAATATTGTTCATGTTCGTTTGTTTAATAAATAAATGAATATAAACGAACTTCTCGCCGAACGGTTCACGAACGGTTCGTTTACAGGCCTAGTGATAATGCGATAGACTGATGATTCACTCTATTTTTGGATGTTTTCGAGATAAATATGGGAAATGGTCAATATCAGTGATTAAAAAGATGCTGTAATGAATAAAAGAATTTGAAATTTGAGCTTTTGATACCAAGGGTTTTTACATGCAATTTTTAGGTTGCGCAACCGCCCAGTGATTCTGTTTCAAGCCTTAGTTTCAGTCCCAAGGCCAATTTCTTGATTGCTACTTCATGGGATAATCAGGTATGTTCACTTTGCTTTGTTTTTTTATTTATTCATGTCATCTCAATCTCGTTCTTTAAGTTCTTGTATGAAGTTGGTTTATTGAAATTTCTTTCCTGTTGCTTCCCTTCCAGTTGGTTCAGTTAGCTGAAACATGACCCACTTCCCCTCCCTTTTGAACAATTTTTCAGGTGAGATGTTGGGAAATATCCCGGAGTGGTACAGCTGTTGCTAGTACACCGAAGGCATCAATTACTCATGATCAACCGGTAATGAGTCGGCATACATTCCATTTAGAGATGTATTATTCGACTCTTCAAGTTGTACTCATCTGATTCTGTTTTCTCTTTGCTCTTCTAAAAGGTGTTGTGCTCAGCTTGGAAGGATGATGGGACGACAGTCTTTTCTGGAGGCTGTGACAAGCAGGTCAAGATGTGGCCTTTATTATCTGGTGGTCAACCAATGACAGTTGCCATGCATGATGCCCCTATTAAAGAGGTTGCTTGGATTCCAGAAATGAACCTCTTGGCCACCGGAAGCTGGGACAAGACATTAAAGTAATACTCCCACCTTTCCTCATTTTTGTGCCATTGGAAAATTGAAGTCATGTTTTTAGATATTGGTTCTTAGTGATTAAGTTCATGTTGAGTAATGCATTTCATGCAAGGGTGCGCTTGCCATCGTGCTAAGTGGTAGTACCTGCATATTTGTAAATTCCTTGCTCAATTCACAGGAAGTATGATCATGTTGTAGTCAAAAGATACCTTGTTGACCAACACTAGATCATGTTGTAGTCACAAGATATGTCGTTGACTAACACTAGATCATGTTGTAGTCACAAAAAAATGGTTGTCCCTTTTTTCCATATGTATGGGGTAAGGGGGAGGTAAGATAGTAGGTTACCCCCAACACCAGGTTGAGAGCAGCTTTCGTAAGAGACCTCCGAATTATGAAATGCCCTTCGTGAGACTCGATCCCACGACCTCAAGGTTAAGAACCTTGTGCTCTACCAACTGAGCTGGATGGTCATTTCATGTTGTAGTCACAAGATACCTCATTTACCAACACTAATTGTTCACTAGGTCTAGCTGTGTAGGAGACTGTTCTTGTGTGCTAGAGGTATAATTATGACATGATAAATTTAGCTTTGACTTTTGGCCACATGTAGGAGATTTTGGGGACTATGGAAATAATCTATAACTTTAGGAAGGGATCTATCCGCTTCCAAACTTGTACATTCTGAAGCATCGTTTTTTATGTTAAAGCTGGTTTTTTATGGAGAGCATATTTTTGGTCTATTTTTTAGATTCACAGCCACATGTTTCTTGTGTTATCATTTGGTAATTAACTAATGAGTTTTCTGTATTGCTTTTACTTCATTCATCAATTTCTGGCAATTTGATTCTTTTATATTACTTTGGCTTTTAATCAACTTGGAGGTTTTTACCTTTATATTTAGATATTGGGATACAAGGCAGCCTAACCCAGTACATACTCAACAACTTCCTGATCGATGCTATGCACTCACAGTGAAATATCCATTGATGGTTGTTGGCACTGCAGATAGAAATCTAATTGTCTTTAACTTGCAGAATCCTCAGGTAGTGTTTTCTTATAACTCAAGGGTCTTCTCTATTTCAAATTGTGTGTTCAATTTTCATAGAATTATTGCTCCTTCACCCCCTCTCATGTGATTGATTTGTCATTTTTTGTGTCATTGTAGTTTAAATGTTATGTTTTGCATAACTAGTATTACATTTGTTGGTATGGAAAATTATTTATAAAGTGGTGGAAGCACTATAGGAATTAGGAATAATTGAATTAAAGGTGCACTCAACATCTTCCTTTCTATTTATAATCTATAAAGTCTTAGTGTAAGTGGTCCATACTAATGCATATGATTGTTGGACATAAATGGCGCTAATAGAATTTCTGATTGACAAGTTGAGAAATTAGTAACGTTTCTTGTTTGCTTTCCCATTACATCTTCATGTCGAATAACATTTACTGAAATGCTAGCAGAATGAATACAAGAGAATCACATCACCCCTTAAGTATCAGACAAGATGTGTTGCTGCCTTCCCTGACCAGCAAGGTTTTTTGGTATGCTTATTTCTTCCTTCCATCTTTCAGTTCCCAACAACGTGACACTTATATTCATTTGTCCCGTCATTTTGGCTAAATGGAGAAACAACTTTGGAAGACATCATTTATAATCTTGCCCCCTTCCTTTTGTGCAACAGTAACGGAATATATTCTCTAACAAAAAGAAGTAATGGAATAATTTCATTGGAAGCATTAACTTTATTGTTTTTCTTTACAGGTTGGTTCAATTGAGGGAAGGGTTGGAGTACACCACCTTGATGATGGACAACAGAGTAAGAACTTTACATTCAAATGCCACAGGGATGGCAGTGAGATATATTCTGTTAACTCGTTAAGCTTCCATCCTGTAAGTTTTGGGTCACCTTTTTATCTTCATGTTGTGTTCATTATTTGTTTCATGGAATCTATTTTGGGTAGATATTAAGCTTTTCTTGGTATGGAGGATGAAAAGGCATAAGGATGAAAATTTGTTAATCAAATGGTTAAGATTCATAGTCACTTGTAGCTTATAATTAGATTAAAAAGTTTCCATCCTTGCTCTATTCATCCTTCATACCAAATAGAGCCTCTGTTCTTAACCATTTTAGGGAGGTAACTTCTTTGGGTCATGGTCTGATGTTGCTGTTGTTTCAGGTACATCACACTTTTGCCACTGCAGGTTCGGATGGTGCTTTCAATTTCTGGGACAAGGATAGTAAACAGAGACTAAAGGTATTCTTAGAATCGTTTGGCTAAACCAATTTCTTTTGCTGTTTTTTTGGCCATTAGACTTCTTGACTACTTGTGCAAATAAGGATTACTTAAATTTGCTATTTTTCAAGAACTAATAACAAAGAAAACAGTGAACCGGAGTGTCTCAACAGTCTTATTGGATTCTATTGGAAAGTGTCACTGGTTGTTGAAGCCTGTAGCTCGATATGGCTGGCAGTGGCAGCCACTGCCAGCATGCCACCGACAATGATCTGCTTTTGGCATTTATAAAGTTCAAGAAACCTTTTAATGCTTTTATTATTACAGAGATCAATTTTGCGAAATGAAACAAGGAATTGTTTGCCATTTTTTTAATTAAATTGATGGTGGTCTGAACTTGATAAATCTAGCTCTGGCAGCAAGACCACCTTTGATGTATTCTGATTTGGTTATTAATCCCGTCTTTTGCTGATTTTCAGGCAATGTCAAGATGCAGCCAACCTATACCATGCAGTACTTTCAACAATGATGGATCAATATTCGCGTATTCGGTATTCACTCTGGAAGAATGCTTGATTTTCTCTTTGAACTGAATATATGTATATAATACATATATCGTGCAGTGCTTCTTACCCTGTATTTGCTATAGGTTTGTTATGACTGGAGTAAGGGTGCTGAAAATCACAACCCGTCAACAGCAAAAACCTACATTTTCCTGCACTTGCCACAGGTACATCAACACAAATGATTCACGTACTTGATCGTTTATTGTATTCATTAAGCTTTTTATTCAAAATGGCATTTTTAATAAGGAACTTCTTTTACATATGAATCTAACCGGTAATTTGTCTTGGAATACAGGAATCTGAAGTTAAAGGCAAGCCAAGAGTTGGAACAAGTGGTAGAAAGTGAAAGGGGTCAAGTATTGTTTAGAAAATGGCTGAACCCTAGAGGGAAAAGGTTTTGGCTCTGTATTGTTTGGTTTTCTAGACAGGCCTTTGGTTCTTCTTCCCCTATCAAGTGGAACAATTAGGATAGGAATGTGTGCTGTATGTACGTCAGGAATCCCCCCCCCCCACTCGCGAATATTTTCTCTTTCTTTTTAGTTTAGAGCCATAATTTTGTTGTGAAGTTGCAAACGGCCTTTAATCCGACTATTATTTCTCCCATTTCTGCAACTAGGAAACGAATTCTGTGTAATCATTAGGAAAGTTGTCACTTGTTGGTTATTTTGGGTTATCTTTGAGGTTACCTTTTCGGATCCTAGGAAAAGTTGTCGCTCTAGGCGATTTGTTGGTTATTTTGGGTTATCTTCGAGGTTAACTGTTGGGATCCTAGAGATCGAGGTTTAGGTAAACCATTATATTGTCATCCCCTTCCCATATTGTAAATGCACCAAAAATTATAAAATGTGAAAATAGTCGAATTAGGTCATTAGATCAGTCCAGATGTGAATCAAGTACAAGAAAGAAAATTGAATCACAGGCCGACCTGACCCATGATAACTAGTATGAGATGCCTAAATCAATTATTAAGACTTTTGTTTAGAGGACATCTCTTTGTTGGGCAAAATTTACCCATGTTTTAGTAGCTCCAAAGACCCAAGATGTGAGAAATAAGGAACGGCGATCTCAGCTCAGAGCCTGATGACAATTGGTGGGTTTTCGACGATGATACAATGAGCATCCAAAACATAAAAAGCAGTGCCTGTGGCGATCCATAATGACCTAGCTATCGAGCTATATTTTTGAATGAAAATGAACGAAAGGGTGGCCATTGGAGTCGACTTGTAAATCTTTTGGTTCATGGATTGCCTCTTCCACACCTAAGTAATAGACGTGGTCAAAGATTTCATCTCTCTGTTACTCCATGGCCATAAACAAAAGACAAAAAATATATTATATTATTGAAGAATGGTGCTTGAAAATTAGGTGTTTTTACTAAAATATCACTGCACCACCAATAATTACATGTTAGGCACTCTCACCCCTAATATTACCGATTTAGCACAATTTATGATATGGTGGTAATAAAGCCTTCGTGGGGTTCTGTCCGAGCTGGCGTTACGTAAGGAAAGACACGGATGGAAATCCGCGCCTTCGCGGGGTTTCTGACACGTATAGAAGGCGCGGATCAATACCTCAACCATCCACCTCCCACATTTATGGGAGCCTGTCTCCTCTCTCCACTCTTTCTATAAATACCACACCCCAAACACAACCTCCAAACCACACTCAAATATCAAATTATCTCATTTTTCAGAGTATCAATCTTTCTATTAAGAAGGTAAATTATTTTTATTGTATTATAATTAATCAATAATTTTTTATTTTATTAAATTTTATTATACTAATTTTTTTATTACTTTTTGCAGTTATAAAATGGAAAGCGGTTTGTTACGTTTAAATGAGAATCATATCTCGAGGCATTTTGCTGATACAATAACAATTTTAAATTCGGTTGTAATTTTAATTATTATGAATGTTTTATTTATTTGATTTTTTAGTATTAGTTTATATTTTAATTTGTATAATATTTATTAAATTAGGAGAAAATTTGTATATTAGATTAATTCATTTGTAACCTTAAGTTAGAGATACCTACTCGTGTATTGCCATATTTAGTCGAGGCTAGATTTGGTTACATAGCGAAATATGAAGGGTACTGTAACCTTGAATCAAACCTTATTTCTGCATTGGTTGAGAGGTGAAGACCAGAGACATACACATTTCATCTTCTGTGTGGAAAGTGCACAATTAAGCTGGAGGGTGTTTTTATATATTTGGGGCTTCCAGTAGATGGGGATGTGATTTCTGGGATGACGGATGATGACTGACATTCCTTGTGCGAGGAGTATCTTGGAGGTGTCCCGCCTAATTTCAACGGTGGTCGAATACCGTTAAATTGGTTGTATACAACTTTTAAACATTTGAGTCGCGACGCCTCCAAGGAGCATATTAAAATGTATGTACATACTTGCATATTACAACTCATAGAAGGGATCATGATGCCTGACAAATCACGTAACCAAGTTCATTGTATGTGATTGCGTCACCTCGCAGATTTTCATCATGTTGGTACACTTAGTTGGGGCTCTGCAATTTTGACATTTCTGTATAGGGAAATGTGTCGAGCTACTTACTATCGAAAAAATGCTATCGGCGGATATCTCATTCTTCTCCAATCTTGAACGTGGTGTTGCATGTCCTTTTTATGTCCGGTGGTGAAAATCTCGTTGGTTTTCTCGCTATTATTGAGGTAATTTCAATATTGATTTGGTATATAAATAATTTTATTGAGTATATAATGAAAATTATTTCATTGAATATGTGGTCAAGTGCAAGAAAAGATCATCGAGATTTACTCGATGAATTAGAATAAATTAGGCTACTCATTGATCAGAAGGTTGGTACAGAGGCATGTATTTAAATATTATTATCTACTTTTAATTATCGCTATATAATTAGAATATTATTTTAATAAAAATTATATATATTTGTTTTAGTTTCAATGGGCTCATTATTTTACTGAAGAAATGAGGATTTGCATCCCACATCACTTGAGAGACCCATTGGATGTTTGGATGGCGGTAATTCCATTGATATGTTATGATATTGTCGAGTGACATCCTACTGATCGTGTGCTCCGCCAATTTGGTTTTGTACAATCTATTCCAGAAGCACGTAAGAATCTCGGTGATATGCATATCATCAATAGATGGGTAAAAAAAGAAGTCGACTGGCTACTAAAGTACATCGAGTGGGTGATGATATGGGAGGATCGACATGGGTGTATTCCCCGTACGGAACCCATTTATGTGGATCATTACTCGGTTGCGAATGATTATTATGAGTGGTTCAACACGAACGAGAAATTGTTCCTACTTTCTAAGAAATCACTAGGTGAGAGCATTTATCGGCGTCGACAAAGACATCCATTATCACAGTATCATCATCCCCCGACTCGTGGACGGAGAGCAAGCGCTTTCGGCTCGTCCTCAGCTGCAGTACTGAAACCATCACAACACCCATAGTCTACACCGGTGTATATTTTGCAGCCATTTTAAATGACATCGCAACCGTATCAGATGGTACCATCGTTGTTTTATATGTCACTACAGTTAGGTCAGATGCCACTGCTTTTATACCAAATATTGCAACCACCACAAAGTTTTATGAACCCTCATGGCAGATATTATACTTCTATGCTTGTAGATCCAGCTTGGGGTTTATTACTGATTATTTGGCAGGTGAAGGTTCACCACATACACAAACACCTCTGGTGCAATTTTTGCACTTATCGATGTCGATGTTTACACAGTTTTTACAATTTTCTGTGAGTGATGGGATAGTCAGCCATACACCTCCAATGTCCTTATTCTATGGAGGTGTTACATCGTCATTTGTCTATCATCAACAATGTGTATTTGCTCCTGATGATGATGAGAGTGAGGATGAAGAACAAGTTATACGAAGAAATCATCATCGACGCAGACAGCTACCGCCTTGCGGAACAAATTCAAGACGCAGACATCGATAGAGTTGTTTAGTTCGTCTTGTTTTTATTTAATTTTGTTTGTTTACCAGTAGTTGTAACGTTTTTATTTAATTATGGATTTTTTTATTTATTTTGTTTATTAATGTTTTTAATATTTAATTATTCGAATTGCTTTTATTATTTAATTGTTTTTATTGTTTGAGTTGTATCATTTTCTTGTAGTTACTTTCATTAATTTTCACTTGAGTAGTCCATTACTCGGTGATGCTCAAATGACATTAACTTAAAGTAAATGAAAATTAAATAACAGAAACTTAGATTTCATAAACAACAACTACATCATCAACGATTACTTGATGACAAAAGAGATTAACATTTTTTCCTATTGTGTCATAGGTTTCTACAATGTTCACAACTTTTGTTTTCTCTAGAAGTCTCCCAAATATCCATATCACAATGAATTCGAGTGGATTTTGGACGATCAGACTTCCTCAATAAGGACAAATCTGGTACAATCAGAAGCCAATTATGAACCTCATTAGGGTCTTTCTCATTACCTCTGGGGAAACTCAAATTTATATACCTTAAACACTTCTGAAATTTGGTATACGAAATCCAAAAAATGGTTATTGTCTTGACGGGTATGAGAGCAAGCTGTTATGACATTGGAGCATGGATACTTCAGAGCTTAAAAAACCCACAATCACATTGTCTGTCTCGTAGATTAACTCTGAACGAGTTAGATTGAATCCCTTGAAGAGGTCGTGGTATCTCTGTTATACAAAGTAATTCATGGGTTCTAGAGAATACTGTTACAGACATTCCATTTGATACATCAATTCTTTTTTGTAGATCTATAACTAATCTTGGGTGATAGACATGACCGTTTTTCATCCATGTTTGAGCTTGTCCCCTGAACTTGGAAAAAAGTGTTCCCAAACTAAAATACATCGTTTTAACCAAAGATGTTACTGGTAAATGGCATGCCCCCTTTAAGGTCGAATTGATAGACTTAGCCAAGTTGGTCGTCATGTGTCCATATCGACATCCACCATCATATGTATTTGTCTATATTTCTTTGTTGATGAGGTTGATGTAATTGTATCCTTCCTCGTTCTTTCCTCATAAATCTTGAAGCATAGACTCAAATGTTTCAGGTAATAGTTCATAACCTGAGCATCAAATGTAGAACTTACTATTAAGTTTCCATAAAAAAAGATTGAGAAATAAAAAGCAACATTTTGACATACCTATCCATACAAGTAATTGGTGCTCATCATTCTTCTTGAAATTTCCATGATAGTTAGTAGCAATGTGTCAGATACAGTACCGATGTTGGACACATGGTGGTTGCCAAATTGGACCCAAATAATCCATTACTGCTTTGATCCCAGCTTCACGATATGAAATGACGTAGATTTTTTCCCTCATGACAACATATAAGAGTAACTTTTTTAGGAAAAAAACATAAGAATATGTATCTTCTCCTTCAACAAGGGCAAAAACAACTGGAATAATGTTGTGATTACCATCTTGGACAACTGACAATAGTAAAACTTGCTTGTATTTTCCATACAAGAATATCTAATCAATTTGGACCACGTGCTTGCAGTATTTCACAGC